CAGAAGAGCAGAGTAGAGGGAGGGAGAGAGAGAAAGAGAGAGAGGAGAGAGAGAAGAGAGAGAGCAGAGAGAGAGGAGAGAGAGAGAGAGAGAGAGAGAAGAGAGAGAGAGAGAGAAGAGAGAGGAAGGAGAGAGGGGGGGAGGGAGGAGCTAAATGAGAACGGCGCATAGATAGATACCGTATAGAGCAGTTGAAATTGCAACCACTGCAAGGGCGTTTTGTAAGAAATAAATAGATTCATATTATCAGAGTCGGAGATACGCATAAGGAGCATGCAGGAGGGAGACGAGGCAGATAGAGGAGAGGAGAGAGAGAGACGAGAAGAGAGAGAGGAGGAGTTAGGGGAGAGAAGAGCAGGAAGACGCAGAAGAGAGAGAGGAGAGGAAAGAGAGAGAGAGAGAGAGAGAGAGAGGACGAAGACGAGAGATACATAGAGAGAAACAGAAGAAGAGAATTGAAGAGAGAAAGAAGAGAGAGGTAGAATGAGAGGATGAAAGAGAAGAGAGAGAGTGAAGAGAAACAATAGAGAGGAGAGATAGAGAGACCAGCAGGAAGGAGAGAGAAGTGAGGAAAAAGTGAAAGAGGTGAAGACGAAGGACAAAGAAGAAACAGACCAAGGACTGGAGTGGAGAGTGTATAAAGTAGAGAAGAAAGAGGAGAGGAATGGTGAGGGATAAGAGGGAGGGGCAGGGCGGTACATATATCGTCAGAGCGTTATTGTCAATTTCTGTATAGAGCGGGAATATGAAAAGATGTCCACGAGTTCATCTTTTTTTACACGTCTACTTATTGTAGTAGATGTGTTGTACTTGATACATGAGTTTGATAATGATGACTGTATAGAGTAACGATAATTAATCATCAGTATACGTCAATCTTAGAGAGTGTTATTGTATAGGGAGTAAAAAGTATAATATATACTATAGAATAAGTACACAAGGGTAATATGGTATAGATAATGGGACATATTATCTCTTTCTCACACTAATCTCATCTTCTATCTACCTAGTATAACTTTGTGTTTCTCTACTCACCATGAGTTTTACTATACTAATTTATCAATTATGTATATATATATTATATATATATGGGGTTATACTATGGAGTTATATTATATTATGGACGTACTGGGTCTCCGCCACATCATGGGTAAAGGGCAGTATTATCCTTATGATAGGATATCATTTATATTATAGACTGGGACGGGATATAAAGAGTAATAAACAACTATATTATTTATAAATATTTCTGTGTTTAAGACCATTATGTATTTTTTCATTTACAATGAACTTGAGGTTTTCTTATTCTACTCATCTCATCGGTGTTCATTTTTTTGTTTTACTATATATTCATTTTTTTTTTTTTTTTTATTTTTTATTTTTTTTTCTTTTTTTTAAACTAAATAAATAGCGGTTCTTGGTAATTCACTGCATGCTTAGCCATTTACTATGCACTATTATAATTCTGCTCACTTCTCTGCTAGCTCGGACTACTGAGCATCCCTCTATACTATAACAACTACTATCTACTTAATCCTTACTTATTACCTACTGCCTACATCCATTACTGGCTACCAACTTCACCTGTTACCATTTCTAGTACTATCTATCACCTCTTTACTAACTACTTCTACTATCTATTATATTCCATCCTATTGTTTTGTCCACTTGAATTAGCCCGTATTTGTACCATTTCTCTTTAATCACAATCATTTAATTAACCTTTTTTTCTAGTCATTTCTGACACCAAATTATTTTTTTCTTACCCTACTACTGCTAACATAAATCTAATTCCGTTTTAGAATTAATTATTAAGGTTTCCTTAATCATGACACATTGTCAGTGAAATGAATTAAGTGTGGTTTAAGTCATTTCTTACCGGTTATTATCCTCTTCAATGTTTTGTTATTACTAGCACTTGTAAATGTTTGTTATTATCATCTTCACTAACAGTACTCAATCATTATCATATTGTCTACATTATCATTATTACGCAGCAATAATATAACTATATAAAGGTTAATCACACTCCATAGAGACAATTCTCTTATTCACATACTTTACCCTCCCTTCCATACCTTCTCTCTCGTCTCTCTTCTTCTCCTCTCTTATATATCTCTCTTTTATTACTAATAACATCTATAAAGTCTCTCTCTCTGTGGTGTGTTGTCGTGTGGTGTGTGTTTCCGTAGTTCTCTTCTGCTGCTGTTGCTTGGCTTCCTCTTCGTCTCTCTTGTCTGTCCAGTTGTCGTGGTTGTGTGTGTGTTGGCTGTCTGTGTGTGTGTGTGTGTGTGTGTTGTGTGTGTCTCCTTGCGTGCGGAGAGAGAGGAGAGAGAGAAGAAAGGGAAGGAAAGGAAGGACGGACCAAGAAATAAAGATGGGTGAGGAAAGACAGTTTTGACAGAAGAGAAGGAAAGGACAGCGAGTAGCAACGAAGATAATACAAGGAGACGTCCCATTTATTCCATCCAAATACTCTTATAATCATTTCCTCTCCCATCGTCTTTCGTTTCCTCCTCTCTTCTCCTTTCCTTCTCTTCATCTCTCGTCTCTCACTTCTCTCCTCTCCTCTGCTCTCTTCTCTTCCCTCTCGTGTTAGACTTCCGAATCAATACTTTTATTTGTCTTACTTTCCTGCTAACTATTTATGTATCTCCACTTACGCCTCTTCAATCAGTCATACTTCATCTCGAGTTGAACAATACTTAGCACAAGAACTCTGCTTGTAGGACTGAACAGTTAATCTTCTTACCCTACTCCATCTACCATAACGCATAATAGATCATGATATTAGTGTCGTGTTCTAGTTAAACGAGAAGATTACAACCTCATCTATCATTAGAATCTACTGACAGGTCTTGTGACGTATGATCAACATCTATACCTTTCAACTATCTCCTTCATATTTAACATATGCTGCGGCATAGGACTTAAGTGCGCTGGCTTTTAGACTGCAGACCATTCTCAGAACGAGCAGAGAGTGGGGTGTAGGAAATGATGATATTGAATATGCAGTCAGCCATGTATGAGTGAACAGAGGGAAGCGCACAGGAGGAGAAATCACCAACAGAGTAGGAGAGCAGTGACTAAGAGATGAGAGCCACGTGTTATGAGATTGATTTGAAGTTAATTCAAGAGATATGTTAGAGAGAGACGCGAGGATTAAGTATCCGGTGCAGGAGAGAATCGAGAGATCTGACGATTTTTTGATTTCCCTCATAGAGTAGTATCTGCAAATTCTCGCTAGACCGCAAGGAACACATGTGACATATAAGAATTTCAAAAGGCCGCAAAGGGGACAAAAGAAGAAGAGCAAATAGTGACCAGTGATTATAAACTGGCCGTACCTGTAGCCGCTCTAAAACGTCGTAATTACTTTATGTTGTTTTATCGTTACTCCATATAAATAATTTGTCTTCTGTTTGTTTGATTTCAGCAATAATATGGATTACGAAGAGCAAATAGTTTAGAGTATGTCATTGAGTGATGAGTGCGGGGAGCTAGGGGAGTTAGAAGAGGCGCAAATGCACTTGAAATGAGTGAGAGAGAGAAAAAAGAGGCGACTCAGAGAGGGTGTGCTGCATAGCACGAACTTGCGTGAGAGAGAGCGCAAACAGATTAAAGACAGTAGAAGGTATATGATTTGAAAGAATGAGGAAGCATGTAAAAACACATTGATGGTCCTTATAAAGTAGGCATTAGGTGCCTTACGTTGAATATAGAGAGTAAAACGATACGAGCAGCGTAATCGCAAATTTATGGGAGAAGAGAGGAGAGAGAGATGAGAGAGAAGAAAGAGAGAGAGAGAGAGAGAATGAATCCGAAAAGATGAGAAAACCAGAGAAGATCAAAGAAAGAAAGAGAGCGAGAGCGCACCATTCCCCCAGCCTCCCTCTTCTGGCCCAGCAACGAAGCATCCCATCCTTTTTTTCATCTAGGAGTCTGACCACTTTCGTCCTCCTTCCCCCAGGCTCGCTCGCCGCCCACCACTTGAGGAAGAGGTTCATTTGGACGTTAACTCAGGAGCCCTATTTCTACGGTCAGTAAATACTAAAAAAAAAAAAACTAATGATAATAGCAGTAACAGTCATAAAAGTAGCATTATTATTATTGCCAGAAACGGTGAGCACGGAAGGTTGTAGAATTCGAAGCAATAATGATGATAATAGGAATAGCTAGAAGCACTCAGAGAGCGCATACCTCCGCCATGGCAATAATGTCACTGGTGCAATAAGAATATTCACACTTAAAGAATTACATTAAAATCACCTTTCTGAAGTACACAAGCGACGTCTGCAATCATAACCTTATTAGCGGAGGCAATGCAATAGCTGTATCCCGCTCCGAATCACTACCCAAATTTTATAAATACACCTCTGTTTCTTCTTCTTCTCTTAGGAAAATCTATTTATAAATTTTCGAGTTGTTCTGCTAATAAACGAACAAATAACATCCGAATCGTATCCATGTATGTGCCTGTCTGTCTGTTTCCCTCCTCTCTCTCATCTCTTCTCTCTCTCTCTCTCTCTCTCTCTCTCTCTCTCTCTCTCTCTCTCTCTCTCTCTATCTATCTATCTATCTATCTCTATCTATCTATCTCTTTAAAAGCTTGTAAACATGGTAAAAAACGCTGATTATTATCATAACAGACGATATCAATGACAATCATCACAACAGTTGTAATTATGGTAATAAGGGTAATAGTGAAAGTAGGGTATACAGTGGGAAAATGATACCAAAAAATGATGATAATATCAATACTGATGAGGATGAAGTGAAGCTACTGTCATTATAACAAAAGCAGTTATCAAGATGTTTTTGTTGTCTGGTAATTACAATAATAATCATTGTGATAACAATCATGATAACAATAAAAACAATAACTACATACACCTAGTAGTGGCAACAACAATAATATCGGCGGTGGTAGCAGTAGAAGAAGATTGAGAGAGAGAGAGAGAGAGAGAGATGAGAGAGAGAGAGAGAGAGAATGAGAGAGAGAGAGAGAGAGAGAGAGAGAGAGAGAGAGAGAGAGAGAGAGAGAGAGAAGAGAGAGTGTGTCAGAAGTCAATCCGGAAGATGTCTCAAGACGATGTGATACCTTTCCAAAAATGGTCCGAAGGAAATTCCGAACTTCAGCAAGAGATAAGAATGACTTGTGGCCTCATCAGTTCCTTCCTTTCATTCTTTGGCATTGATATTTATGTTCATTCCAGTGGTCATTGGTGAGGGACGGCGGGAGGGAAGAAAGAGGGGGGGGGAGAGAGGGGGAAGGAAGGAGGGGGGGAGGAGGGGAGAGAAGGGGAAGGAAGGGGGGGAGAGGGAAGAGAGAGAGAGAGAGAAAGGGAAGAGAGAGAAGAGAAGAGAGGAGGAAGAGAGGAGAGAAGAGAGAGAGAGAGAGAGAGAGAGAGAGAGAGAGAGAGAGAGAGAGAGAGAGAGAGAGAGAGAGAGAGAGAGAGAGAGAGAGAGAGAGAGACAGGAGAGAGAAGAGAGGAGGAGAGAGAGAGAGAGAAGAGAGAGAGAGAGAGAGAAAGAGAGAGAGAGAGAGAGAGAAGGGTGAGAGAGAGAAAGGGAGAGAGAGAGAAAGAAGAGAGGGGAGAGAGAGAGAGAGAGAGAGAGAGAGAGAGAGAGAGAGAGAGAGAGAGAGAGAGAGAAGAGAGAGAGAGAGAGAGAGAGAGAGAGAGAGAGAGAGAGAGAGAGAGGAGAGAGAGAGAGAGAGAGAGACAGAGAGAGAGAGAGAGAGAGAGAGAAAGGGAGAGAGAAGAGAGAGAGAGAGAGAGAGAGAGAGAGAGATTCGAAAGATGAGATGGATACTCAGAAATACAGACCTAAATAGAAACAGGTAGACTGACAGATGTCTGGGTGAATATATAAGGAACTATTTAGGTCTTCTTTTTTTCTCTTAATATCTCGTTTCACTTTCTTTTGTTCACTGCACTTTTTTCTGTTACTAACTGTTTTTTTTCTCGTTTTGTTTATTGCTAATCATTCTCTGCTCTCTTACTTTCTATGTGCTCCTACCATATATGATCATGCAAGAGTAAAATCTAATATTCTAATAAGATGTCTGTTTGACAAGATGTATATACATATGTGCACACTCTCTCAAACACACACACACGCGTGCATGCACATACAGAAGCAACATACACTCACACACACACACGCACACTTTCTCTCTCCCTCTCTCTCTCTCTTTCTCTCTCTCGCTGTCGCTCCTCTCTCTCTCACTCTTTCTCTCCTTCTCTCTCTCTCTCTATCTTTTCTTTCTCTCCTGTTTGTCGATTTTGGTAAGGAATCTGCTGCCATTCTCTTTCTGTTCGCTACAAATACGTGTCTGTGTGTCTGTTTGTAT